AAAGGGAGGCCCCCTCACCATCACCGACGCCAACCTACTTCTGGGTCGTCTACTGCCGGAGTACTTTCCCAAGATCTTTGGGCCCAACGAGAACCAGGGACTCGACGTAGATATCGTGCGACAAAAGTTTGAGCAGTTGGCCAACGACATTCGAAGGGACACTGGTCGGGATGTGACACCTGAAGAGGTCGCCGTTGGCTTCATCGAGGTTGCCAATGAGACCATGTGCAGGCCGATTCGCTCTCTGACAGAAGCACGAGGTTTCGAGATCGATTCGCATAATCTCGCCGTGTTTGGTGGAGCGGGAGGTCAGCATGCCTGTGAGATCGCAGAAAACCTCGGTATCTCCAAGGTTGTGATGCACAAGTATTCCAGTCTTCTGTCGGCATATGGTGAGTCTCTCTTTCTTTTTAGTATTCAATAAGTCGCGGAGATGTTTCCAAGATATCTAACATCACCTAGGCATGGCCCTTGCCGAGGTCGTTCAAGAAGCCCAGGAGCCATGCAACGAGGTTCTCACAGCCGAAAGCCTGCCCAAGATTAGAGCCCGCCACGAGCATTTGCGAAAGTTTGGCACAGACGCCCTCATTCAGCAAGGAGTCGACCAGGCAGCTATCAGGCACGACGTCTATCTCAACCTCCGCTACCGTGGCAGCGACACTACCCTGATGATCCTTGAGCCCGCCGATGGAGACTGGAAGAGGGAGTTTATCGCTGAGCATCTGAGGGAATTCTCCTTTGTTCTCCCGGCTGACAGAGAGGTGCTGGTCGATGACATCCGCGTCCGGGCTATTGGTGTTAGTACCGAGAGCACCAAGGATAACGAGGCTCTTGAGCAAGAGCTGAAAGGAGAGAGCTTTACGCCCATCAACGCAGACAAGCTTGCAGCAGAGACGGTAGGTGTATCGCTCCTCCATTTAGACACACTGGCTAACACACCTCAGCGACCCATGTATTTCAAGCACGGCGGCTTCCACCAGGCCAGCGTTCTGCTGCTCAAGGACCTGTCCCCCGGCAACCTGGTCTCTGGACCCGCCGTGATAATCGATGACACGGCGACTGTCGTGGTAGCTCCCAAGTGCAAGGCCCGAGTTCTCTCAAGTCATATCATCATTGATGTCGAGGCCCAGAACCCCTCAAAGGCTGATGCCCTGACCGTTGACCCAGTTCAACTCTCCGTGTTTGGCCATCGATTCATGAGCATTGCGGAGCAGATGGGCCGCTCGCTGCAGAAGACCTCTGTCTCTCTCAACATTAAGGAGAGACTGGACTTTGCTTGTGCTATCTTTGGCCCTACCGGTGACTTGGTAGCTAACGCACCCCACGTCCCCGTCTTCTTAGGTAGCATGAGCTATGCGGTGAAGGGTCAGATCGAGCAGGTTGGTGACAAGATGCAGCCTGGTGATGTCTTTGTAACGAACCATCCCGGTAAGAGAAAGAACCTTCTTTGTTCAAAATCGCAGAGCCGTGGCTAACAGTTTGCAGTGAGCGGAGGAACACATCTGCCCGACTTGACGGTCGTCACTCCGGTGTTCGACCAGGCTGGCAAAGAGATCCTCTTCTTCCTTGCCTCTCGTGGCCACCACACTGATATCGGTGGCTCTGAGGGAACGTCCATGCCGCCCAACTCCACGGAACTGTGGCAGGAGGGTGTCGCAATCCACACATTCACCATGATCCGTGGCGGCCAGTTCGACCATGAGGGTATCGCCAAGATCTTTGCCGAGCCAGGAACCCGACCTGGATGCAACAGCACACAACGATTGAGTGATAACATCACTGACCTCCAGTCCTTTGCCGCCGCAAACAACAAAGGCGCCAAACTTCTCAACAGGCTGATGGATCAGTACGGGCAGAAGACGGTGCAGTTCTACATGGACGCCATCCAGTCCAACGCTGAGATTGCCATTCGAGGATTCCTCAAGAAGGTCCGCACGCAGTACCCCGGAGGCAAGCTCAGTGCCGTCGGCTATATGGACAACAGTTCCCGGATCTGCCTCCAAGTTCAGATCCGAGAGGATGGAAGCGCCACCTTTGACTTTACTGGCACCACTCCCGAGCTCCACGGAAACATGAACGCGCCCAGGGCCCTCACATACTCGGGCGTTATTTTCTGCCTTCGAACTATGATTGGGGCTGATATCCCGTTGAACCAGGGATGCTTAACGCCTATCGATATCATCATCCCCGAAGGCTGCTTCTTGAATCCTTCTGGAGCTGCGGCTGTATGCGCCGGCAACACGCATACTTCGCAACGCATCTGTGACACGATCCTTCACGCCTTCGAGGCCGCTGCTGCGTCTCAGGGATGCATGAACTGCGTTGGCTTCTTCGGCGGCGAGTCCCTCGACGAGGCTGGCCGCACCAAGGGCTTCCGGTATGCCTTTGGCGAGACTATCTGCGGTGGTGCAGGTGCTGGACCAACCTGGCACGGCGCGAGTGCCGTGCACACTCACATGACTAACACGCGCATCACCGACGCAGAGCTTGTCGAGAAGCGGTACCCAGTCCTCATGAGGGAGTTTAGTATCCGAAAGGGAAGTGGCGGCAAGGGCACGTTCAATGGCGGCGACGGAACCCGGAGAGTGTACGAGGCTCTGGCGCCGCTTAGCTTCAGCGTCATCACTGAGCGGAGGACAACGAGGCCTTATGGTCTCCGCGGCGGTGATCCTGGCGCGTTCGGATCGAACACCTGGAACCGCAAGCTTGAGGATGGATCGTTTAGGGCGGTGAACCTTGGACAGAGGAACATGGTGAGGATGAAGGCTGGTGATCAGTTGGTTATTGAAAGCCCTTCGGGAGGTGGCTATGGTCCTGTAAGTGACAAGGTGAATGGGAAAAAGGCATCTAATGGAGATGATGGATATAGCAAGGTTGCTGGGGTTAACGAGCATGCTAACTGGGCGGCTGATGGATTTTAATTCATAGAAAATATGCAAAGAAATAGTTGTATCATACTGGAGAAGTTGCTAATGGCAGCTCGTTGATAAAGACCGGAAACTCTATTTAATGCCCGAGTTGAACATTAAATTTGCAACGACCTTTACTGACGGCTTGCAAGTGTGACAATGGTGCGTTTCCTAAAGGGCAAACCAGTAATACCAGGTTCATGTTAGTAGAGTGCTAAGCATAGTCGAAGTAGGCAAGGCATAGTTATATCTAGTAATATATTTGACAGAGAGTTAATTTCTAGCAGCTTTCTTCCGCTTTTTATAATGCACCATACAAATCCAACCACCCAATAAGATAAAAAACACACCGATAATGGGCAGACCAATTAGTAAAACTTGCCCATCTCATCAGCCAATGGACCATCATCGTCAGTCGAGCGTTCATCAAATTTACCATCGGGAATATCCTGACCAGGCGCCCACGTTGGAACCTCCATGTTGCTAGCCAGGGAAAGCAGCTTTGGCGTCAGTGTTGATGTGTCGGATGCATGCCAGGATATACTCCAGGCCTCGTGCAACATAAGAGTTCGACTCGTGCTCATGCTGGAGCCTGACTTCGTATTGCTCGTCGTGGCGTGTTCATCGGTATTCTGCACCCGGCGTCCACAACGGTGTGTGCTAATGCCTGCAGAGGCAACGAACTCGGTCGTCGTTGTTCAATCGCGTATAGCTACTAAGGTAGACATCTCGGTTAGCGTATTTGCTTTCCTCAGGCAAAGAACATCTCAAGGATAAGTGGAAGCAGACCTGTTACAGCAGAAGGCTGTGGAAGGCCCCTCGACTCCATCCTCACCCACATTGTAGTAGGTCCAGCCGCTGGGACATACAGCTGGGTTGAATTGCTACCGGCTCTCAGGCACGACATCCTCCCAGCCAGATGGTTAACATGATGGCACGGCTTTTGACAACAAAACTGGCACCGTAGATATGTCGCCCTCAGTCGAGAGTATGCCAGTGCGCTCCCAATGTGAATCGCATCCACGCGGTTGCTTAAATGGCGTGATGAGGGCGAGAAGCTGCGTGGCCGTGGCCGTGTCTATAGCTGTCCCGGATGAAGAGAGAATAGTGTCGCTAGTGTCGGTGCTGAAAGACATGATGGAGCGCGATTGCTCCTGGGGCCCTGATCCAACAAATCACTAGAAGTAGGCAGGCTTACATCTTGGGTCACGCTCCAATTTATAACCCCCTGCGCCCAACAAGGGCCCCTGTCTAGAGTGGAGGCGTTGGGGATCCCCCCGACTCAACCCCCTGCCTGTGGAGCACCAGCTGGGCCCTTAACATTAGCCAGGTCAGGCATAGACAAACGTCCAACGGCAATGATCGATCATATGGACGTGGATAAGATGGTTCCAAGTCTAGTGAGCCAATACCACTGGCACACCATGGTCTTGCGCGTGCCGCACGACTGGTGACGTAGAAAGAAAAACATAATTTAATCGTGTACAAGTGGATGAGCATGATGCTCTAGGTCACGGCGTTTTATCGCATTGGGCCATAATGGTGTCGGTGTTCTAGAGACGTATCACGATAATCCACAGCAAGGTGTGAACTTGATGCCCCCTGGTCCAACTAAAGTGTTCATTTGCTCAATCATCACCTATATATTCTACGTTACTTTGTACAACTATATACTTCAAGATCTCGATGCAATCCAGATGCAGGTCGGCTGGTGGGTTGTCGATAGTACCGTTCGCGTAGAAGATTCTGTTCCACTGTGGACGCTACTCGCCACTGGCGAGCCTCTGGCTCTTGGTTTCCTTTGGAAGCAACGAAGGTCTCTTGTCGGGGTTGACACCACAGTTCTCGCCCATAATCTGTTCTTTATTATAGTTGCAGCCCGGCCCTTGATGGGTTAACTGAGCCCGAAGATCCCCATGTAGATGGCGGGACTGCAAGACGATGGCATCGCCAGGATTGTCGGAGGTGAAACCGTTGATCACGTCAATGACTTCGTCTTGGATCTCGCCTGTGCTACTGTGCCAGATGCTCCTTAACTCTGACATGTGCGATACCCAGAATGAACAATATAGCGATCTTGACTAAGATATCCTAAGGGAGAAGCTCCGCCTCTCGCAGCCGATCAAATGCCACCATATAGCCCTCACCAGGCTTTAGAATCTCCTGGAACCCAATCTCACGGGATGCACCTAAATCATAGTCAATCCGGACCGAGAGCGTCAGGACCATCTGGAGAATATCCCATTGCATGTCCTCCAGAGCATTCTTCCTGAGACCCTGCTCTTGGATCCAATCCGGCCAAGACTCCTTTTGGGCCATCAACCATTCAATGCCATATATCTCCCCCTCTTTATGTGCCAGGGGACCAACTCCCTTGAGGCCAAAGTATTCACATAGCACCGGCCACGTTAGCTCCCACGACACCGGATCGCCATCTCCGACGTTGAAAGACCTTCCGCTACTCTTATCAGTGTGCAAAGAGACGTGGATGTGGAAGTGGGCAACTAGGTCTTGGGCGGATTCGGTGCGGAGCGCTGTCCAGGAGTCGGGGGTCCCGGGGAACACACATTCGGCCCCGGCGCCTTTCATAGAGCGGTAGTAGGAGAGGAATAGGCCAAGGGACTGTGCGACATTCATCGCATTATGGTGGGGGACAAAGCCTGGCTATTAAGAGAAGTCAGCCTAGATAGGGAGAAATGGGGCACCGAAGATAGACAAAAGGAGAATTCAATGAAAGACGTCAGAAATACGCACCAGATATGAAGGCCTGATCTCAGACCACCCCCAAGACTTGTTTGCAGCGTGTCTGGCTACGACGTCGTATTGCGCGTAGTAGAAGATATCCGAGGCGTACGGCTCCGGCATGCGAGGGAGATCTTCTTTCCAAGGTGCGGGCGGCCATCCAAACCCGACAGTTCCGTATCCCTGTAGAAGTTAGAGACAGGCCATTAGATCGAAATGGTGTGCTTGCCTTTCCACCGGTTTGCAACACGAAGAACTCCATCATCGGGCATAGTTCGTTGAGCGCGATGAGAGCATTGTCAACAATCGTTGCGTTCACTTTAACAACGTCCTTGGGGTTGCCACCGTGGCCGGTGTATGCTATCAACTATTAGATTGCGTATGGGAATGGATTCGGAGATCTCCCGGTTCACTCACCAACAAAGTACACATGCGTTACATCGCCAATGCCTGGGAGGGATCCCAGTTTCTCCTTGGTCTGGCCCCCATGGGTGAGATCCAGCCCGTTATTTAGTTCCAGTCGCGGGTCATTGGGAAGGCGAGCTGCTTCCTTGGACAATGGGCGATGGCTCAAGCCGATGACACGAGAAAATGTCTCTGTTGATGGGAAAGAGAGACATTCACGCATCAGCGCCCAGCCGGACTAAGTTCAGGTATTAGCATGGCTTCTGCTTCATATTGACTGGACTTGACACACAATTCCAGAGGCCCCAAAAATAAGGGCTACCTTGTTGGTGTTTGAAGACATGGTAGTGATCGTGGAAGCAGAAGTTGGGACAGGCTTTGACAGGATGACTAGAGGATGGAAGTCGGTTTAGGGGGGGACTACTTACCCTCGTCTCGCTTTCGCTTTCGGCGGCCGGAGACAAAGGCCATGCCGAGTCTCCCCTTCAGCTTGCGGAGGTTGTCCAATTCCTCCCTTTAACGCCGCGCCAGCTGATACATTGCATGAATGTCCACTAGTGGCGAGACTAGAAAGATATCAAGGCGGGGTAACACATGATAAGAACCGGTTCAGGCGTCAAATAATGAGTTGTGTCCATACTGTACCGTCCATCCATCTTCGTTCACAGAACTGCTCACCAGTGCTTAACTCCTGAAACAAAACCGTAAGAGATGCACGGAATACGGGAGAACAAGGCCCTTGCTAACCCGATTTCTTTCCCAAGTCACTATCATCATGTCGGTCGACGATCTCCAAGGCAGGATTGTCCTTGCTTCCATCAGGGAGACCATTAATGCACCGGCAAACGAGATCTGGCCTTTCCTCTCTGCCATTGGTGCGGAGAGAATCCTTATTCCGGGCTGTACTCGGTCATCTATCCTCAAGGGCCACGGAAAAGATGCTGTGCGACGTGTCTACTTTGGCGATACCTTCTTCGACGAGAAAATCCTAGAGTGCGACTCCATGACATACAAGTTAACGTATGAAGTTGTCGAACCAAACTCAAGCCCGGCCACTGGTGTTTTGGCAGCTGCCCAACTCCACCCTTCGGAGTCCGATGGAACAACTATCATCACATGGGTATCGGGCGCAAACACTGTGCCATACGAGTATAAGGCTGTCCTTGAAGAGCAGGCGTTGGGCTTCTGCAAGGGGCAGGTGGAGTCCCTGCGGAGATTGACGACGTCGACGAAGTGAATCGTGGGGCCATCTGGGTGGTTAGCAGCCGTAAAGAGAGCGGAGTTTCTAGTAGAGGTTAGCACTCTACAGCGGAGAAGCAGAAGGGGGGTAAGCCGCCTTGTGCCTCCTGACTCGTTACTCACACTTCCCGACGGTCCGGGCAGCAACGCAACCACGAGGGGACAAATCAAGACATGAATTCACATTTCCTCATCATCTACCACGATCTCTGATACCTGATCTGAGTGCAAGTGAAAGCAATAGAACTCAACGATAATCTTTGGTCAACTCTATATATCAAGAGATACTTGAGACTCGTCTTCACGGCGAATACACACTACCTAGAATGCCAGAACATGCGGGAATGTCACTTGGTGTTGCATTTCAAATTCGAATCATGAGACATGAAAGTCTCCGAGTCGGTCCAATATCACACCGTACGGTGCTACTAAGGGGCACATCGACCAAAAATTAAGCCGTGCCAAGACGCGAGTATCCATGCGGTAAATCCAAAGCAGAGTATATATACACGGTAAAGGGATCGAACAAATCTTTTCATCTAAACGTACATACACACTCCTCCCAGTTTCCTTGATATTATTACACTCTGGATTACACATGTCTCTGAAGGAGATCCTCGAAAAGACGGCAGCGGGCTGGATCTCCGATCTGGAAAGTCGCTCGCTGGACAATGTTGTATCGAGATGGACCGACGATATCCATTATACGGTTCACCCAGATACAGAGGGGGTCTTTCCAATGACGAGAGAACAGTGAGTTGCGAGCAGAGTCCCCCAACGCTAAAAGAATGTGTGAATTACTGAACGATAATCCAGATTTCGAACATACGACAGGGCGGCAGGTTTCTTTAAGCTTTTAAAGAAACTCAAGATTACTATTAACGAGATGTTCGTGGACTTGGAGAAGAGGACGGTGACGTTGATGTGTAGCAGCGAGGGCGAAGTGGAAGCAGGGCCATATGGCACTGATTATGTCTTTGTGCTTACAATGACGGAGGATGGAAAGAAGATTAAGAAGTTGTCTGAGTGGCCAGACTTTCATAAGGTCCGAGAAGTACTTCCAAAGTCTATGGAGGGTTAAATAAGAGGCATCATGTCCATCACCCATGAAAATCATTGATTGAGCTCTTAATGGTTTTTGTCTAGAAGAGAATTTTTTTGCGCTAGCAGACTATGGGGCAGCTAATGGTTTATGGTTTTTTATCAATGATGCATTTCAGGTCAAGGCTAGCACCTAAAGCCAACATGTTCATAACCATGGACTAAGCGATGGGCCTGGTGTACACTTTGAAGAGGGAAAGAAGATATAATGACGCAAAAAGATTGCTAGTTGAAATCCTAATCTAAGTTCTATGTCAGTGTGAAAAGCTCGACTTCCCATGTGCTGTCTGTGGTGTCAATGTCCCAGCCACCTTAGACATGCGGCTAAGTCAACATCACACATTGGAATATGGGATATTAATTCCTTGGATAACAGATGGACCAATTATCCATGCGTATAACGACCAAAAGTCATAGCCCGAGGCTTAGCTGAGAATATCACACGGTGATTCCGTCTCTTACTAGCTTGATTACCCTACCCTACATCTAGCTGCAACGGGAGCGAGGGCCTGTTGTGTGGGTGACTGGAACATGGGGAGGTGGGTTGTCACCGCCCATGGCACGAGAAATTCAAATAGCAACAATAGTAATAGACGCACCTTGGATCTCTATGTAGCTGCATTGGATTGGGGCCGATATGTACCTAGTCACTATGGGTCTCATGGCTGGCTCATCATGACTGATGTTGAGATAACTTGGCTGGATGGCACTCGGTTCCATATCATCACAATAATTTGTTGAACGGGATTGCTTTGTCCTCGCTGAGTGTGTCGATCAAATTTAGCTGACCTTTGTTTCATATAATAATTTGGATCTCCTGATGATCAATGAAGTAAAAACAGAGACCACAATCGACCTTGGGATCCCTGACACTATGATTTCCATATGACTTATCTCGCGGAAGGTTGTGATAGCTTGGCCGAGATTATTGCGTCTATGGTTTTCACTAATGCTTTGCCCAAATGAGAAGATTAATAAAGGCTAAGTTACTAATTAAACTACCCAAGGTAAAAGCTTAAGTATAGAAACAATAGTAAGCTATGGTAAGCTATTCCACTTTGAACAATATCAGAATGTCATCTGCCTTCGTCGCAGCCGCCACATCTAGTGCAGTCCGATGTGCTGTGTCCTCCGCCAGTGCATCCAACCCCGTGCCCATTAAGAACTTGAACCTGCGTAGCCTTCCAGACTCAAAGTCCACCTCAACATGTCTATGGTCTTCACCCGCCACGATATGTAGTAAGGATCGTCCTTTGGCATCGACAACACCCCAGTCCACGCCATGCTGCTCCAACAGCGCCCACAGGATCGGCTCCCTTTCCACGGCGGCCTTTTTTTCGAGGCCACGCTGAACTTTCCACGCATCGCGGCCTCCTCTGAGCTCCCGAGACGAAGCATGACCGTCCTGGTCCTGGAGCCTGCGCTTGGGTAGCTTGACTTCTAAAGTGCCCTCGCGGAAGTAGTTAAACACGGGCGTCTCGCCCGCTTTGTTGCGCGCGTTGATGTCGGCGCCCTTGGATAGGAACAGGTCCATCATCTTCTTTGTGTATCCTTGCCAAGCTACAACCCCATCATCATCCACGACGAGACTCCAAGTTCCCTTGAAAAGTAGGTGAAGCGGCGTGTCACCATTCTTGGCCTGTGCGCAAACATCGGCACCTGCAGACACGAGCATCTCAACTTCTTCTCCAGAACCTCCCCGTTTACTAATGGCACAATGCAGAGGAGATCTGCCGTCCTTGTCAACCTGATGAAGAAGCTCTGGAGCGAGACTGACCAAACTCTCGAGGAAATCACGCTGAGGGTAGCTGGTTTGATGATGCCATCTATCCTTGGAGAGAAAAGACAGCAAGAGATGCAGGGCATTCCTACCCGAACTGTCCCTCATACGCACGCTAGCGCCTCTCTTGAGGAGAATCTGGGCTGCTTCCACATCGCCCATGGTTAGAGCGCTGTGAAACAACGAGACGCCAGCTGTGTCTTCAAGGTTGATATCCAGGCGTGGATGTTGAAGAATGACGTCAAGGTAGCGGCTCCGCTCGCCGTAGGTCGTTCTGGAATCTGACCCCTTTCTCTTCAGTATGCGATGTGCCACCGTTGTCCGTGGGTAGCGAGCATTTGGGTCAGCGTCGTGCTCGAGCAATATTTCAATCATGCGCATGCAAACTGCATCGTGGTTCTTGGCGTCTTGGTTATTGCGAGCCACTGCGCTGATCACAAGATCAAGAGGATATAGCTCGTCCTGGGTGTCTGGATCTCGCCTCCCACCACCCGCCTGCCGCCCGTCTGCCGACGTCCAGTGGGGTGTTTCGGCTCCGATCTTGCGAGTGTTTGGATCTGCCCCTGAGGCCAGAATCAGCTGGACCATGTCCACGTCCTTGGCAAGGATGGCGGCGGCCAGTGCGGAGTGGTCGACGACGGCCCCGTGCTGGAGAAGCATTGCGTAGACGGTTTTGTTCTTGGCAGCACGGGCGAGACAGGTCTTGCCTGCATTGTCCGCGCTTGTAGGGTCCGCACCAGCATGCAGCAGCATTTCGGTAGCCTTGCTGCTCCAGGAAGGCTTGTCCATATTCTTCAAACTCGCGTTCAGGGGTGTTAGCCCATGGCGGTTTCTAATCTCCAGGTTCACGCCTCGTTTGAGCATGTACGGAAGCGCCTGGTTCGTCTGCCACCAGTGATGATGACCGCCTCTAACCAGGGCATGGAGAGGAGTCTCCTGAGACTGGTCCGAAGGGTAATAGCCATCCGGCAATCTAGCATCCAAACTAAACCCTTTCTCTACCAGCAGCCGAATCACGGACATATTTGGCTCTTCGGCTTCGCAGGCAGAAAACAACAGCGACGGCATCTTGTGGTTTGTATCGCGTTTCTTGTCAAGATCCAAGACAACCTCTGGTGTGAGTAGGGCGTCAAGGAGCCGTGCAAGGCCTGCCCGGGCCAGCTCGGCTAGAATGCGGTGGAGCACTTCAGGTTTGGGCGAATGCTTCATGACGCAGACAGGGACGTCGTCGTTGCACCCTGTTCTGATCAAGAGATCAATTTGGCCAGCAAAGTCGCGACCTTTCATCATCTTGGCCAACTTCTCTGCCCTTCCATCCAAGCACGACTGCGCTTCAGCCGAACACTCCAGGGTTCTTTCAATACCCAAAGTCCTCCGAGCTCGTAGGAGACATTCCACAGTATAGCCATGCTGCCCATTTGTGGCTGAAGCAATGGCCTTATCAACCATATGCCAGCTCAGTGCAGTTGCGTCGACCATAACGAGCTCAAGTATTTCCTCAAGCCTCTCCATTTGGTAAGCGTCCCATCGCCTATTTTCCAGACCGAGCCGCTTTGTATCGTCGATGAGGATACCACCAGCATCAGACTCGTCCTTGTTGAAATGGTGACTGTTCCAGTTTTTCTGCTCCTCTTCGAAGTTGGCACAGCCATTCAGGGCTGAACCTTCGTACCTCTCCATGTCGACCACGGCACCGGCCTTGACAAGGAGCTCCACGGATTGACATCGACCTGAAGCACAGGCATAGAACAGCGGAGCTCGTCCTCGCTTGTCTTTGGCGTTGACTACTCTATGCAGCTCATCCGCGCTCATCTTCATCCTGAACCAGTCCAGAAGAAGCCCGATGGTGTTGCTCTGTCGGCATCGGGCTGCGAGATGGAAGACATTCAGGCCTTCATGCGTGGCCAGTGTAGCATCGGCACCGGCTTCCAGAAGCCTCCTTGTTTGATCCTCGGAGAAGGTCGACACAAGATGCAGCGGTGCAACCCCGTCGTGGTCCTCCCGGTTCACGTCTTCGTGGCTCTGCTGCAGCATGTACTCAAACAATGTCGTCTGGTCTTCTTTCTTGGAATAGTTGTTGTCTCGCAGAGCCCACTGATCGTACTCGCATAGGACATGCAGTGGCAGTCTTCCATAGTTGTTCGCTTTTCGTGGATCTACCCCCAAGGCCGTGATGTTGTGGAACAACTGAGTCGAGACCCTCCACGTAGCAAACCGCGGCACCCCCTCGTGCCAGATGGTATTGCCCTCGAGGTCAGTTTGCTGCGGATCAACCCCGTGCTCCGCCAGAAGCTGCAGAAGCTTTCCATTTGACCGACAGTGTCGTACCGCAGCATGCAGTAGTGTCCGTCCGCGCTGGTCCCTGACGTCGAAGCGCGCCCCTGTCTTTGCCATTAGCGCCATCAAGGCCTCCGCCTCCTGATCCGCCATGCTGAAGTTCTCAAAGGCATTAAAGAGCAGTGTGCGACCTTGATTGTCCACGGCGTTCACATCGGCCCTTGTCAGCTCCAGAAACGTCTCCAAGTCGGCATTCTCGAATTTGTAGTGCCCTTGATGGGAGCTTAGCTTGTGCAGTGCCGTCTGCCCGTCCACGTTGCGCAGATCTGGGTCCGCGCCGCCTTGGACCAGCCTCTCCAAGATGTGTCTGCCATCTGGCTTGCCGATTCCTCCCATCTGGGCGACGTAATGCAGGACACCATTGCCGTCATTGTCGGTGACGCCGACGTCGGCCCCAAGATCGAGCAGCTTGAAGACTTTGTCCAGTGTCGCCTTTCCATTGGATGGCGTCATGCTATCTGATAACGCATTGAGCAGGACCGTCTTGCCGCTGCGAGTCTTGGCATTAATATCCGTCTTGCTGAGAAGGACCTCCATTATATCAACACTGTATGCGACGTGGAGCGGTGTTTCCCCCTGTAGATTCATTGCGCTAGCGTCCGCTCCGGCGTCAAGAAGAAGCCACGCAACGAGGGGCTGCGTGTCTTGTGGAGCGGCGTGGTCTTGTTACGATCAACTTGGTTCACTGCAACGTGTAATTAGCCTTCTTAAGAACATCAGGAGAACGGAAGGTGTGTACTTACCGTTAGCACCGGCAGCGAGAACCAATCTAATGCACTCTTTGGTGGCATCATCTGAGGGGTTTCCCTGAAGGTAATGGTTGTAATGGTATGGTGCCGCGAGGGCGTGGAGCACATTATCTCCTTCTTTTGAAGTATTGCCAAAGCTGGTGTACCAGTCCTCGTTGTGAGGCACGTTGGGATCTGCACCAGCTTCCAGCAGCACAGATATCATCTTTGGGTCAAGCTGCATACACGCTGCAAACAGCGGCGTCTGGCCTCGGACGCAGTCATTAATGTCCATCAATCCAAGTTCGAGGATCGAGCGCACAACGTTTATGTTCTTGGAGCTGTTGATGACCCAGCCACAAGCCTCGGTCGCCGCCTCCTTAGTCTTGATGTGTGGGAGGAACAGCTTGGTTATCTCCTGACCGCACGTCCTGAAGGCTTTCTCTATCGGTGGGTAGGGATCTCTGCCGCCTATAGTCATATCGCACATATTCTCGTTTTCACCCAAGCTCTGCCAAGGGTCTGCACCAGCTTCAAGCAGATGCTCCACGACAGCAGGGTGTATCCGCATATGTCTGTAAGTAGACCCGAGTGCTAAGTGAAGTGGTGTAGCGCCTTCACTGTTGTAATGACCCAGCCTGGCTCCATGTTTGATGAGCAGACGAACAATGTCCTTGTCCCCATTGACCACTGCCTGATGCAACGGAGGCTCAGTATCTAGAGTTCCGCTGTACGTCGCCGCTTCTCCGTCGTTCCGGCTTAGCAGGCTCTCGACAACGCTCGTCAAGCCGAGTCGTATGGCAAAAAGCAATGCTTCTGTTTCCGGTCCCATACTCTGGCCTCGGGATGTTCCTTTCCAGCCATCCTGCCCTCCCAGTAAAGCGAGTCTTTCCACATAATTTGGAGTCGTCAGCACCGAGAGAATGCTCCTGTTTGCCTCTTCCTGAGGATACCCTAGCATATCAGCCGTTTTGGTATGCACGTGCCAGTTGTTCGTCGCGTAACTCGTAAAGGGAGGAAACTCTTGTTGCCTTACCAAGGCCGGCCCGAAGCCAAAGATGGGCTCCTCGACTTCCACGGTATCTAGGCAATCTGCTTGAAGATAGGACAGACAGACCAATGCGAGGAGATTATGCGTAGGCCCTAGCTCAAACACAGGGATATCTTGGTCGAGTGGCGATCGTGTGAGTCCAAGATACTCGGTCAAGGAGTGATGAACAACGCGAACTGTCTCATCTGGGAGCACCTCCAAGAGTGGCCCGCAACATGTTCGTATAAGGCTTTTGATAACACCAGCGTCTTGACCATACTGCGGCTGGGTCACTCTGACACAGTCAGATATCTCAAGAAGACGCAAGGGCCGAGTGGCATGCGTGACAAGCTGCAAGACGAGTATGAACAGTCCCTCTGGCAGTCCTGTGCGTCCCATGTGTTCCCGCAAGAGATTTCTGTACATGACTGACAGGTTGACGGGCATCCTGTCAAGAGACTTGAGGATTTCGGTTTCGGCTTCCAGCCCAGCCATTGTGTCCATAGCTAATGTCGCATAGAGAAACAATCCATCCGCTTTTTTGAGCACCTCGTTTATGATCGCATCGCGGCTTTCAATAGGCAGGGCAGAGCGGCCGAGTCTGTGGTGGAGATATGTAGAGATGTCGTAGTTAACTAGGTCCTTGCCCAGACGAATGTCGAGGAGCCTTAAATTTCGCATGATCCTCTCAATTGTCGCAATCGGCCGGCTAGTTATGACTAGTTTTAACCTCCCCGGATGGATATTGCCCAGCTGATCAAGGAACTGTAGGAATGGCTCCAAGGCACTTTGGTCCATCTCATCCAGAGCATCTACCACGCAGTAGGCCTTAGGGATACTTTTCAAGGCCAGCCGAAGAAGGTGCCACAGCTCAAGTGTCGACAGACTATCCACAGAGTTCACGCTAATGGGCTCGGAGGTCAGGTTCTTCAATGCGAGCTGCAACGGGGGAGAGGAGGGTAAAATCTGAGCAATCCAGTCGCGGAGGGCAGCTTCAGGGCGGTGGTTGGACTGAATTGTATGGCGGAAGAAGAAGTACAGCACGGGACACCCCTCGGAGGATAGATGATGTACTAGTCTTGCCGCGAGTACAGATTTGCCGGCGCCAGGCACACCTGCGGAAGGTTAGCTTTGACAGCCCTTGTTCCTGATATGTCACTGTCACACACCTCGAATCCATAGAATCCCATGGTCGCTACCGTCATGCCACTGTTGAAATATGGGTGAACTGAACAGCCACTGACTTGTGCCCTTCAGGTGCGAGCGGGCATGCTTCTCAAGCTCGCTGTCCTCGCCGGCGTACCCGGTAGGTTCAATCCAGGCTCCGAGTCGGGTCAGGGTGGCCTCGTCCTGAGGCAGAATGTTTGGCTCGTTGTAGTCAGCAATGGATAGTCGGTCGATGACGACGAAGTCGTTTAACTGCGTGTCTGGTTCGCTCAGGGACATGATGAGGTTTCCTTTGGCATTGATGACAAGGTTGGATAAGTCGAAGTTGACATCTTATGACATGACTCTGCTGCGCCGTGCGGAGTCTGACCTCCAGATTCCGGCAACAGCCTGCGCCCCGCCTAATTGGAGGCAAAGTGCTTGGCATTCTGGGCTTAGTCAGGGATGTGACAGCGTCACTCATGGCTGTTACTCTGCGACCTGTGGTGGACCAAGCCATAGAAACGTGTAAAATACAACCGGATGATCGCCATGGAAGTCAAGAGAACTCTTGTATGACGTTTGGCCTAATGGGGGAGTCAAAGGCCACCCTTTCACCGCAAAGCCTGCAGGTTTCGCCATTTCTGCAAAAGTCCGTAGTGCAAAAACATGCCTGGGAAGATGAATCATGCGCTCTGCGTCCGTCGTCAGACCAAGCTGAGCACTATGTACTAGACTTGAAGCTCTCCAAAACTAGGTTGCTGTACAAACTTTCGTAAATTCTAATAATACTACTAATCTTAAGTATTTTAGTTAACTACGTTACCGTCTAAAAATAAAGCCCAAGCGATGATGATCCAAAGACATGCCGACGGTGGAGATCATGGTGGCGAAAGCAGTAGGGTAGGCTGGGGCTTCGCTCTGAATAAAGACCTAAAGAATTTTTTTTATAATGAGAACCGCCATTTGCTTCCTTCATCCACCGCCTCCCCTACTTCTTGCTCCGCTTCCTCCTTTCGTGCTAACTTCTTGTTGAGCCATAGATACTGTGCATTAGAGCCAATCGCAAACACCACAGCGATGGACGCCAGAGTGAGAATGACGGTAAAACCCGTCCTATACAGCGGCGCATCGTGTGCCTGGAAGACCTGAGCACCTGCCAAACCAGCCGCGTTCGCAGTCATGATGAGTAGCGCCATGGTGATGGAGCGCTCTGCAGGACTACGGATGTTGACGGCAAGCCAGGAGCCGTTGAGAGGATGAGCTGCAGATCCCCACAGTGTGGTGCAAACGAGGATTCCGTACTTGAGATCACGATTCGTGCTTGTTACAAGCTGTCTGGTCGCGAGACAAAATGCGAAACTCAGTACAGCAGCAAGGAGAATAAGGCCACCTCGCCTCTGGGTCTTGTCGGCAATCCACCCAAACGACAGACTCAGCACAATAACGACCCAATTGCCAACGGAAGACAGTGCATTCGCTTGAAGACGATCATAGCCATAGCTTGCGATGATGGATGGTTGATATGTTCCAAGTGGCGAAATAATGGCGATGCAGCAGAAGGAGACGATAAGCTGCGGGTAGACAAACCATCGGGAGAAGGCTGCCTTGACATCAATCCACTTGACATATTTGTTCTTGGGGCCCTCAGTAGGATTGTCGATGACCACGCGATGGGTAAGAATATGGATCTCTCGTGATGTAAAGTATGAATGACGCAGAATATTTGACGGATATGCGGGAGAGTGAGGCATGAGAAGCGCGAAAACGATGCCGACAAGTATTGTGATGATGCCTTCAATCAAGAACATCCACTGCCAACCAGAGAGTCCTGCTGTGCCTCGCATCTGCAGGATACCGTAGGCAATGAGACCACTTGCTGCTGAAGCAATCATATTGCCAAGGAAGAATGCAGTGAAGCGTCTGCTCGTCTCATTACGCTTGTACCACTGTGTCAAAGTGTACAAGCCTGCAGGAATGAAGCCAGCTTCAAGAAGACCGAGCAACAGTCTGGTGACATAATAGACACCAACGCCTTTTCCCTTGATGAAGGCTTGAAAGGTAGCCACCAGACCCCAGCAAACGATCTGGCAGCTGATCCATTTCTGAGGACCGACACGATAGAGAATGAGGTTGCTGGGCAGCTCAAGTAGCACAATGCCCAGACTGAGGAGCTGGTTACCAATGTTGAACTGGAGTTGAGTGATGCCCACTTCTGCGAGGAAGAAGTCTGTTAGGGCGTTGCCGATGTTGCCACGATCGAGTTGCAAGACGAAGAAGCCGGCGATGAGCAAAGGCATGATGAGGAAATCAAGCTTGCGGACGACAGCCCGTTCTTCGACTTCCGACCAATCCTTTTGGGGCCGCTGTCCCGGGCCACTGGACTCTTTGTCCGGATCCGAACTGGATGCGCCCCAGTCATGCGTTGTGGGTGTAGGTAATTGCTTTTCGATCGACATGTTTGAGGACTTGAACAAAAGTAAAGAGTTGCTTCTGAATGAGAAAGGTTAATTCTTCTACAGCCAGACATTGCCTTAAATAGAGACCAATGCTTGGCGCTGGCATCTTGAACTTTCGCGATGAGGATCCGCAATGGCACAATGTTTAAACTTCCGGTCAATCGTGTCTCCATAACCTCAGCTTTCGCCATGTTAAACCAGTAGTTGACTCTGTTAATCTGTAAGAATCATCAAGCAGCGGAGGTCGTTGCCGTGCTGAAATACAATTCACCAATGAGGCCATGATCCGAGCGACAGCCCGGTCGTCCGGAATTCGATGGGCTTGTTATGGGTGTGGGTAGCTTGAATTTGTCTAACGTTTTTGAGATGTGAATCTTGCGTGCTCAAGAAGCGTTGAGCGAAGAACCAATGAGAGCAGGATCCGAGCCACACCGCAATCTGGGGGTTTGTGGGGGCTCTGTTGTGATGTGGAATTTCGCGGAGTTTGGCATCTCTAGCTGAGTTTTTAGCTCGTGAGAAATGACCTGAGAGTGGCTCGTCGGCTTCAGACGTAGCTTCCCGTGTCCGATGGTAGTCGATATAAAATGCAGCAATTGTCTCTGCGTACCTACCTTCTGGCGGTGCAATTCAGTTTCTTTTCGTCCGTCACAATCCTCGGATATCTCTTGCAATCATGCATGCTCCTAAGCAACCAAACTTCCTCATCATAGTCGCCGATGACCTTGGCTTCAGTGATATCAAGCCGTATGGCTCTGAGATTGACACTCCTGTCCTGGACCGTCTATCTAAAGATGGCATACGTATGACCAACTTCCATACTGCGCAGGCCTGCTCGCCTACACGGTCCATGCTGCTCTCTGGTACCGACAACCACATCGCTGGACTCGGTCAGATGGCTGAGTTTGCCGAGATGAGGAAGAAGCTCACTGGGAAGTACCCTGACTATGTTGACAAACCGGGCTACGAAGGTTATCTTAACTGGAAAGTTGCTGCTCTACCCGAGATTCTCTCTGACGCAGGCTACCTAACCATCATGTCTGGAAAGTGGCATTTGGGAATGACTCCTGACGTATCGCCGAGCGCAAGAGGGTTCAAGAAGAGCTTTGGCTTCTTGCCTGGCTGTGGCAACCATTTCAACTACGAACCGCAGTTTGATGCAAACGAAGATACGATGCTGTTGACCTCTGACGGCTTTTGGATGGAGAATGAAAAGCCTGTTGATAGAAAGAAGGACTTACCAAAGGACTTTTACTCAACCAATTTTTTCACGGATAAGTTGATCGACATGTTAGCCAGCAGAACCAAGGAAGAAAAAGACCAACCCTTCTTTTCTTACTTGGCTTACACGGCGCCACACTGGCCGATGCAGGCGCCACATGAAGTTGTGGAGAAGTATCGTAAGTTCCCAGCCTTTTGATATGGGCCTCTTTTCTGATGTATACAGGCGGCAAGTACGATAATGGGCCGGACAAACTCAGACTAGACCGGTTGGCCAGATTGAAAGCGCTAGGTCTTGTACCGTCTGACGTCGAAGCTGCTCCTCCTGTTGGTTTCGAAGCCGGAGTGAAGTGGGAAGATCTCACAGATCATGAGCGAGCTGTTTCTGCAAGGAAGATGGAAGTCTACGCCGCCATGGTTGATGTGCTCGATCAGAATATCGGGAGGGTGGTCGATACACTTGAAGCATCGGGCGAACTAGATAACACTTTTATCTTGTTCATGTCAGACAACGGCGCAGAGGGATCTACGTTGGAAGCAGCGCCTGTCCGTCCCCCCTCCCCATTTGATGCCTTGACGCTCATACTGACTGAGAAGCTTAGCTCTTGTCATCATTCAAAACACTGGGCGAACTGATTGATGCATACTATGACAACAGTCTCGAGAATATTGGTAGACACGACTCGTATGTTTGGTACGGCTCACGGTGGGCATGCGCCGCCACTGCCCCTTCTCGCGGGTTCAAGGGATGGTCAACGGAGGGTGGGATTCGCTGCCCTTGCCTCATTCGCTTTCCGCCAATTTCAGAGGCTTCCGAGACTATTTCTCATTCATTCACAACTGTCATGGATATTCTACCCACAATCCTCGATCTTGCACAGGTGCAGCACCCAGGAACCTGTTTCAGGGGCCGAGAAGTTGTCATTCCTCGAGGAAAGTCCTGGGTGAACCATCTTTCGTCTCCTACAGGACATCCTACCGTCCACGAAGATGCGAATCACATCCATGGCTGGGAATTATTTGGCAATCGCGCTATCCGTAAAGCAAACTGGAAAGCAGTGTTACTGGCGAAGCAGGGTGGAGATAGTTGGGAGCTGTTTGATGTAGACAACGATCCGGCTGAGCAACATGATCTGGCGAGGAAACACCCCGAGATCTTGGAGGAGATGCTGGTACATTGGGCGACGTATGTTGCTGAGACGGGCTTAGTGGAAGATGCGTTTTGAGGAATTGCGCAATTAAGGCCCACAATGGCGCACGGTATTGTACGCCTTATTATCATCACTCCGCCGGCGATTGTGGTAGCAGTGAATTGTCAGCTTCGTTCCAACACCTTCACAATGACTTATAAAAAGACACGGACTGGCTGTCTAGAATGCAAAGCCAGGAAAGTAAAGGTAATGACTTTTAGACCAAGTGAAGTGAATAAGAGCTTACAGCTACGATAGTGTGACGAAGCGGTTCCATGCTCGGCTTGTGTTCGACGTAGCTCAATATGTAGCCTCAAAGCTCAAGGAACATCACCTCGTAGGAGGACGCAGTCCCCACGCGACACGACTTCGGCACAGATCGTGTCCTTCACACATCTCCAACGAATTACGCCATTGCCTGCAGATGGCTTGACTGCACAGGATAGGGAGCTGCTAGACCATTGGCACAAAGTTGCCTTCAAGGCTATTGTCCACCAACGAGGGTCAGAAGATCTTTGGAAATATGAAGTCACACACCTCGCTTTCGATCATCCAGTCATTTTGAATCTGGCGCTAGCTATATCGTCGTTCGAACAAGCGCATACAGCACATCGATCACCAACGGACACGCCATCACTTCGCCGGCGACGGGACATTCACGCTTCCCTCGGCTTCAAGTATTCACAAAACGCTGTGGGTATGATGAGGGATGCAGTGGCAAAAGCAAACCGCGAAAACGGGGCTGTTTGTCATCTTGCCTCAGTTCTCATGATGGTTAGCTCTTATGCTGAGGGCTCCTTGAAAGAGCTTTTACGGAAAGGGAATGATCCTCCATCGATGTTGAACGACTTACTCGTCAACTGTAGGCTCACGAGGGGTGTGAGGGCTATTGCAGATGCCTTTGGTGTCATACGGCCAGAGCGACATGAAAAGATACTTTACGTCACCGAGGCTGAACCACCGGACCACGGGCCTCTCGATCGACTCCTAGACGCAGTCAAGTCTTTGACATTTTTGGACCAAGAAGAGAACCTAGTCGTCAGACAAATCTGTCAGGACGCTCTGGATCTGATGAAATGGCTGGTGAGAAAAGCACAGACATCAGAGTGGTGTCCGGCACACAGAGCGTCCTTACAATGGGCATGCCTGGTCAGCGAAGATTTCATGAGATTACTTGAAGCCTACGAACCTGCAGCTCTTGTGTTGCTATCGTATGGGTGCTTTTTGGCAAATGGTGATGTCGGTGACACATTTATAATGATGGGGTGGAAAGAGGGTGTTTGTGCTGAGATTCGGGACATCGTTGGTTTAAAATGGGCTTGGGCTGTTGCGGGGTAATTGAAAGTGATTTAATGATAGTATGAAATCGGGCATACTATATTCTCGTCGTTAGATAATAGTAAGAATGTCTAAAGTATATAATATATAGGGCATCATCTGTCATTTACAGATAGGCCGCTATGCGAATGGCAAATGTGTCAGATACTCTACAACATGTACCACGGTAACTGAGTCATATCTCGGTTCCGGCACTATCCTTGGCGGCGGCATTGATGATAGAACTGGAGGCTCTGTACCCCCCTGTTGTTACTGAACAATACGACTTTGAGTAATCAACAAGACAAATCTAAGAACTCTACAAAAAGTTTTGCGCGACTTTAGGAGACGTCGCTCGGTCCAGAAGACAAAATCCCATGTGCTTAACACGAAACAGGTGGGACGGCCCGTTTTGGTTCCACGATGCGCTTTTTGGGCGGGTGGGACTATAAAGGATTATGGACAGGGTAGGGCCTTGATTGATCACATTTTACAGCAGCATATATTGTGTTGCTTAATTTCTCCTGCGACACACGGAGCGCGCACAGTGGAACTCAAACGGGCTGTTCAGCTGTTTCGCATTGGGATTTTGGCCACCACCATCCCCTAGCCCAGCAAACCAGCAGGCATCCATATCAGAGTATAGGGAGGGTACTAAATATACCGGCCTTCTCGGGACGATCTTTGGGCTCAGTTATTCCTCAAGGGCCGGGCTGCAACTATAATAATGAACAGATCTTCAACACATCATAACATCATGACCCGATGTTAACACAGTAGCCTTTTTAAACTTCTGCAACAGCAGTACCATTGTTATCAATACCGGCTAGAGGCCAGGGCAGCCCGTTTTGGTCCAATACCGCGCACTTCATATTAACCTTCATTACCAGGTGGAATCCATAAGCTGACCATCAGCACAAATAGATTAAAGCTGCACATCGTGGGCTGTGCTCTCTGCCACCCACGGCCATTTGGAGACAAATCTTACTGATGGCACCGCATTTTGGCATCTTACGTGATGGGCACCTGCACGAGTTGTTGCGGCACTTGCATTCTGGAGCGGTCTTGGTCCGGTTTTCAGATACCAGCAACGAAGATCCACTGCAGCAGATGTACAGAGTTTAACATGTATAAAAACCTCAACTTCCCACCCATCTTGGAGAATTGCAACTCATCACCACTCGACCTCGACAGTCACCGGACAAGATGCATTCTCTGTCCCCTGTTTTCCTCAGTCTCTCACTCGGCGGCTTCGTCGGGGCATCGCCCTTGGTTGGCCTTTTTGGTCGTGACATAAAGGAAGAGCCCATCTCAATCATAGGCATCGGAGCCCCCTTTGAGTGCTTCGACTTGAGAAACCCTTCGGACGAATGCAGGACGAAGCTGGCCGAAGAGATTGGCGACAAACGTCCTTCTTTCATCTTTGAGCGCAACTGCAATGCCTCACAGCAAGCCCAAGTGCTCAGATCGGGCACCGACGCAATCACGCTGGCTGACCAGACCTCGATGGACACGGGCCCGGAGAAGGCTATCTTCGAGAGGGCCATCTGGGAGTTGTACATGGGCATGGAACTGGACAGGAACGCCCTGAACGAGGACCATCCCTCCGAGGAGAAAATTACCCACAGACAGAGGGTTGAACGTAAAAGTTCCTTTCCTTGGATCGCCACAGCAGAATAAGAAGCTAACCCGCGCGTTCAGAAAACCTTGCTCGTGCCGCTGCTTTTCGAGGCGGCTCCAATGGCCTCAAGATCATCATCAGTTGTGATACAAACCATGAAGTCTGCTTCAAGTACAGGAACGTCACAACCGATGACGGCAAGCAAGAGACGAGGAAGTTGCCCGTGACTGCAGCTGGACACGCAGTAACCTTTACCGACGAACATGACGGGGAGGAAAAGTCGTGGATCAACCTCTGTGAAATCTTCTTCAAAGCGGAGACCCTACAGACAAGGTACGACCAGGTCAAGAAAGCGGTAGAAGGGGGCGACTTGTCGATGGCTGAACAGGCCTCATGGCAGCACAACGCGGGCGAGGCACTGCTGCACGAGATCATGCACCTGTACGCCGTCTCAGGAGTCCAACCACATAGTAAGCAAATCCCCATGCCACACAGCTCAGCAAGAATCAAGAACCTAACCGGGCCTTTCTCTCAAGTCGTGGACGTCCCCTTCCCCCCCGGCCAGCGGACCGATACGTCAAAAAAGGATGACCGCCCCAAGGCCTATGGCCCATGGAGGGTCTATGAGTTGGCTAATAGAAAACGCGGCACGAAATGGGCGACGCAGAACGCAGATAGCTACGCCTGGCTCGCCAACAGCCTGTGGTTCTACCGCAACCTTGATAAGATCCCCAGACCCATTTCGCCCACCGGCGAGAGTCCGTACGGGATCGAGGCGCGGACCGAGCTTGTCTTTTTGCACCTGGGAGACTTTGACCAGTCGGCCGCCAGCGACGAGGTGGAGATCATGAAGCGCGCCGAGGAAGAGTGGGAATCTGTCACCGAAGACCTGCCGGACCTGCCGGACGAGTGGCCCGATGACGGGGGTGATACCGGTGGTGATGATCACGGGAACGATGATCTCCAGTGTCACGGCGTCCAGACAAACACGTTCCTTGGGCGGGATGACCTCAACGGCAAAATTAGCCAGTTCTGCGCCGACGCGGCCGCGCAAAAGGTGCAGGATCAGGATAGCGGAGGTACCATGCGCAAGTACAATGAAGGCTCGCGATATGACGTTGAGCTTCGCATGGATTGGCCATCGGGTCAAGATATCTCGGAGGGTATGGAGGAAAAGTGCAAACAGAAGATGACACTGATCATGGACTGTGAGTAACCACCCCTTCTCGTCTGCTCCAGAAACTAACAATATCCAGCCTGTGATGGCAACGACCCTGGAAACCCTCTCAACTGGAAACACGGCGGAACCCTCAAGATCGGCGACATCACCTACGGTATCCATCCCAAGGTCGACCAAAGCTACCGCCCCGGCAGCTGCTCCTTCCACCTCCGAGAGCGGCACTCCTTCTTTGGCATCGACGGGCCCGGGACTCGACGCAATCACTGGTTCCACGTCGAAAAGCTCATGATGTTTGACAACGACAAGAAGGAGATTGGGCGCGCTGGGTACAAGAAGGACAGTGGCGACGGCGAGTGGGTCGAGTGCGGTCACGATAGCCCTTTTACCTGGGAGGATATTCGACTACCCGACACACTTCGGCTCACCGCTGAGGCGCAGGGCGGGAATTATATCCAGTTCAACATTGGTGACCGCAGTTGGAAGAGCCTTGATAGTGAGGGCGACAAGAGGTGTGAGGTTGGTGGCTGGGATGGCGATTACAGCCCAGTGGTACGTTGTGAACCTGTCGACTTGTTGTTATTTGACTTGAGCTAACATTCTGACAAGTACCGCCAAATGGACTGCTTCTTCCCGTGCTAGAGGATGTCGTATACAGAGAGGGCTTGGGTGGGGGGGTTGCTTGGATGTTGAGAAATGCCCAAGCTATCGGAATTGGAGGAACTTATCTTCTTCAAGGCCATGTGAGGCAGTTCTCGCTTTTAGAGATCAGCTCTTGCTAGGGGCCTTTGTATTATTAGTTAGTTACTTTATTATGTCTTTTGTCCTTATACTTTAGTCCCCCTGTAGACTTTTTGTTTTTATTATTCTTTATATATAAAACTATATTAGAACCACATATTTTACTTACTTATAGGATAATATTTTTCTACTTTAAACTAAAATAGTTCTTTAGCTTAAAAGTAGCCTTATTATATATTATAAATTTGCCTTGCTTAAGATATGCTTTTTTATACAAGTATTAAGCGCGGCGATAGTAGCTTACCCTTGATATTTATAACTTATATTAGCTAAGAACTAAAAATCAATTTTATATAAGAAATCTTTAAGTAATTATAAAACTTAGATATATTAATAATTAAAATTAAGGTAAGATTATCTTAAGACTAAGTATAAGATAAAAGGATAACTATAAATATCTGGAGAAATTATAAACGCTATAGGTAATATATATGCTCTTCGCGCTTATATAAGGCCCGGAAATAAAATACTAATAAGATTTCTAAACAAATTATAACCTAATAACCCCAGCGTCTCGGCTTAGGAAAAGTTTAGCTTAATAGGGTGCTTCTTATAAAACTTAATACTATTATTATAATTTAAGTATAGTCTTATTATAGATTAAATCCCTCCCTATAAATTTCCTCCTTACTTAGCCTATTAAATAAGGATTATATTTTACTTAAAATTATTATAATCTAAGATTACTTATAATCTAAGATTATTATAATTTAATACCCTTTATAATTTATTAGAGATTATAGATATATATATATTATAACAAGAGGGTAATTTCTAAGAGATAAACTAGTTATACTAATTTATATTAGTACTAGATTATATTATATAGCTTTAAAGGGTAATATAAATTATATCTAATAATATATTTAAAAATATTAAATATAACTAAGTTATATTAATAGCTAAGGTAGCTAATATATAAGAAAGTGCACTAAGTATATTTTATATATTATTTAGTCTCTAAGTCGAATATAGTTAAGTTAAGTTGAGTTATTAGGATTTAATTTGCCTTATCGAGAGAAGTTAAATCGACTTCGTTTGACTTATATATTTTCTTTCCTTATGATTAGCTAATATAGTGGGGTTAGTTTCTTGCCCGGCGTTACCGCCCTCGACTATATTATGGCGGTGATATTAAGATTATTCTTAAGGAAAGTATTTTACTTAAATTCTTTTTTATATATAATTTTATTTAGATTAAGCTTAATATACTTAAAGAATAATTATAAGATATACTTAAAAAGGGATATATTAAATAATTAAAATCTTTTATTAAATACCTTATTATATTTATATTAAAACCTAATATTAATAAATTCTAATTAATTATTAATTATTAATAATTAAATAATATTTCCTTAAAAGATAAGACTTTATTAATATTTATTATAAAATTTAAGGATTATTTTTTAAAAAATATTTTTTTATTATATTTAATCTTAAATTAATATATAACCTTATATATATTAATAAAAAAAATAAATAAATAATTATATTTAGAATTAAATATATACTTTTTAAATACTTAATAATACCTTTTAGACTTATTAATATATTTATTATATTTTAATATATAATTATATATATCTTATAAAAATACCTTAATATCTTTATTATTTATTATTTTAATAATATTTTTATTTTTTTTAATATAAAAAAATAATATATGAAATATATCTATAAAATATTAAAAATACTCTAAGATAATAATATATTTATTAAACTTATAAAAACTTTTTTATATTAAAATAAAATAACTTCCCTTAAATATAAGATATTATATAATAAAACTTATATAGATTTTTATAAAATTAATATAATTAAAGATTAATTAATATACTTAATAAGCGAGTAATATACTTTTCCCTCTTATATCTAACTTTTTATTTAATTAATTAATTCCTAACTATAAAATATATTATAATCGAATATTAAGGCTAGAACCCTTCTTACCCTTTAGGCCCTTTAAAATAACCTAAATCTAAATATCTAAAGGGCTATAAAGACTTATTAAGTCTCTAAGCTAAGGCTATATTAGCGATAAAATAGTATTTAAGCTTAATTTAATATTATCCCTAAATTATATAAATTATTAAATCTAGAAGAATAAATCCTTATTTATTTTATTCTTAACCTAGATTCGCGAGGATTTCCCCCTTAGCTTTATAATATAAAAGAGATAATTAATTAATTACTTATTAACCGCGATATATTACTAATTAATATATATTAGGCTTATAACTTTATTAAATAATACTTAGACCTTAAGATATATTTTTTTTAGAAGTATAATTACTAAAGAGCTAAATATAAAGATCTAATTATTATTTATAATTAATTTTAGCTTATAGTAAATATAATTGCAAAGTATAATATCTAATTAAATAATATCTATAACTTTAATAAGATTAGCTTTCTTATAGGTATAATTATAAGTAGAATAATTATTATAAATATATAAAGGTATTTAAAGCCTAAATTAATATAACTAAGAAACTAAGAATAGATTATAATTATTTAAGTAATTAATATAAAAAGCTAAGTAATTTAGCTATTTATTATTAATATAGGCTAATATTACCTCGCTAATTAGTATTAAGAAAATAATCTCTTAGGTAATTAAGCTATTATATTAACCTAAAATAGCTAAATTAATAATAAGATTAATCTTAAGTAGCTTAAATATTTTAATTAATATATAATGAATTAATTAATTAATTCTTATTATCTCTTAATCCTTAATAGCTATAAAAGTTATTATTTATTAAGTTTAAGAGATATTATAAAGAGAAAAAAATTATTTAGCTTTATATATTACCTTATTTCTTTTATTTATTTTAGCCCCTTAATATTAAGTACTTTAATATACTAAAGAAAGCTTATAATTAAGAAATAAAGTCTTTAATTAGATATTTTATTACTTATATTTTAAAAACTAAGTTTTTCTTAGCTTTTTATGCTATGTATAAGGCTATTATAATAAAAAGAAATATTAAAGGGGTATTTAAAAGAATTAGATTTATTCCTCTAAACCTAGAAAATATAATCTTAAAGCTTAATATATAACTATAAATATTAATACTAATTAAGGAGGTAATTAAATTATTAACCCCTTAGGCTTTAAGGACCTTAAAGACTATAATTAAGGCTAGATCTTAGTTTAAATACCTTAAAATATAAATTAGAAGGTATTAAAATAGCGCCTTAGAGTTAATTTTAGAGGCTTTTTAG